TCTTCAGACACAAAAATAAAATTTACAAACCTTAAAAAAGCGGATTAAGTAGCAAGTTGTGGGAATCTTCTATTTTGGAAGGAGGAAAATGATTTTGGGAAAAAAAATTTTATCACTTTTTTGATATAATTTTATATATCAATTAAATGATTAATTTTATTTATTTATTTGAGATTCATATTATTAATACATCTATTCATTTAATAATATATAAAAATTATATTAAAAAATAATATTAAAAAATTATCGTTATAACACTGCACATTTGGAAACCTATTATTTGCCTTTCACCTTCTACAACCGTCTCTTTCGTAAGTTGGGAGTTTGCAATAGGGATTCAAACCGCCTTTTTGCTCTAACGATTTGGATGTAATAGTTAGTAATTTTGTCCAAACTATTAAGAATATGTGTTTAGTAAATTTATTTATTTATTTCACAATAGCTACAAAACTAAGTGTTTGGTAAAATTTTTTATTTAATAATGTAAGACTAACGTATAATTATTCTATTTAAACTCCTAGCAAATTGAAATTTTTTAATTTTATTAACAATTTATCTTTTTTTAATTTTTGGCCATAGTTTTTAATTCGTATTTATCTAATTAGTTTCAATTTTATTTTTTGTTTTTAATAATATTAAGTAATTATTATATTTTTATTTTTACATTAATTTATTATAAAAAATATATTAACTTAATAAAAAAATTTACTAATTAGACGAAAATATTAAAATTTTTATACTTTATTTAAAATGAATATAATATTTTTTTTATTAAAAATAAAAATTAGTATATGATTACAATATTATAATTTATTTATTTATTATTATTATTCTTAGAAAATTAATAATTTTAATACTAATAAATATAAAAAATAAATATTTAATTATTTTTAAACATATTCTTATCAGTCATTTATTTTTAAACAACGATTGGTAATTATTGTATAACTAAATAATTATATTAATCAAATTTGCTATTTACTATCCATTACCCCCTTTTTGTTATTCGCCACTCACTATCTACTAATCGTCACCCGCTATTTACCACCACAATCTGTTATTTGCTATCTGCTACCTATTATCTATTGAATTTTAACCATTATATTAAACACACCCTAAAACTTTTCTATACAAGTTCTGTTAAGACTTGGAATAAAAAAAAAAAAAATTCAAGATGCATGTTAAGAGAATAATTCAACAAAAGTGAGAAATTCAACCCAAATACAGTAAGTTTTTATAGTTTTGTTTGTCACTAATTTATTCTTTTTTATCTTTTGTCTGTACAATTTATATGATCTTAGTAGGATTGGATGTCCTTGTTTGTGTTTTGGGTCATGCATCTTTATTCTGTGTGGGGACCTTGTGTTAAATTTGCAACACTACTTGTGTGGGTCGTGAAAGCTTTGACAACTATTGCTACGTATATATACATATTATATGATGTTTAAATATTCTATTTTATAATCTGATTCTTTATGAATTATAAATAATTTTGTTTCTAGTTAGTTGCACATTTTGATATTTTTATCTTGCTTTGTATTATGATGGTTTCTTCTTTACCATATGTTTCACTTTATTTTTTTTTATAGGTGAGATCTCTGACTATTTTACAATTGAAATGCACCATGGGGGGAATTTTAGTCTTGGAAACAGTCAATATAGAGGCGGTGGAATAAACTTTGTCGACTATTGTAGTGTTGATGAAATGTCACCCCTAGAGCTTGAGTAGATCATGGAAAAACTTTGGCCACAAAGATGGAGCTAATATGGTTTTTTTGTGGTTAATGCGTGGTATGAAGCTTAATAATGGTATGAGAGTGATTGAAAAGGATGCAGACTGTATGGAAATGGTGAGTTATTTGCCTGAAAATAGAAGCATATGTGTCTATTTTAAGGAGAAAAAGAGTGAAGAAATAATCGGATATTTATTGTTACAAGCAAAACCTCGAGTTTTTTCATGGTCTTAGTTGAGAAAGCATGTATCAGAAAATCCTATTTTATTTAAAGATGGTAGGGATGCTATGGTTGTGGAAAATGGTGCTAAAGTGGGGAATGCTGTCACTAATAGTGATGATGAAGATTATATTGCTAGTGAGGATTCATAGTTTGAAGAAAGTGATGATGATCTACATTTTGAAGAAAAATATGTGAAGTCAACGTTGATTTAGATATAAAAGATGAGGGTTTTTAACTTGAACTCTAATAAAGTGGTCACTGCTTTTTATTTTTCTGTTGCAAAACAAGGAAATTTGAATGAAAATGATGGTAGTGAAGATGGAAACTCATGTCTTTAACAGTGACTGTGATTTAGAGGATGATGAAAACTTAAAAAGCAAGTTCCCTGAATTTAATCGTGATGTTGATATGGAAAATCCTCAATTTAGAGTTGGGATATATGTTGTTCGCAGGTAGGGAACAATTGAAGGAAGCTGTAAAGCAATACTCAAGGAAGAATAAGCCTGCTATTAAATTTGAAAGGAAGACAAAGATAGGGTGAAAGCCATATGCGCGGAAGAATTGTCCATCTTGGGAGTTGTGGGCTAGTCCTGCAGACTTAAAGGATAGTAATGATACAACTTGGCAAATCAAGACATGCAAGAATGAGCACAATTGTGGGGTTTCACATGAAAACAATTTATAACAGTTAGATGGCTAGCAAGATATATATTATCTAGACAGATTTAAAGTAGACAAACAATGGAAATGTTCAGCCCTACAAGAAGGAGTTGAAAAAGAATTTCTAATCAATATCAATGAGACCACATCATACAAAGCAGAGGTGTATGCAATTGAGATTATTTATGGGAAATATGAAGAGCAATATATATGCACTTATATGGGAATATATTGATGAAGTCAAGCTACAAAATCCTTTTTCAACTCTGGAATGTGTTACTACTGTTGGGACTTTTCAGAGAATGTACATGTGCCTAGATGCATGTAAGAATGGATGGCAAGCAGGTTGTAGGAAAATTATTTGTTTGGATGGTAGTTTCCCAAAAGGGATCTTTGGGGGGCTGCTGTTATTTGCAGCGGGAATTGATACAAATGACTGTATTTATCCCATTGTGGTGCTGTTGTTGAATAAAAAATAGAGAATCTTGGGAATGATTCTTGAAGCTATTGAAAGTTGATTTTGAAATTGTCAACTTACAAGGTTATGCATTAATGTCTGACAAACAGAAGGGATGAAGGAGTGTGTGTATATATATATATATATATATATGGTTTTCTAAACTTGTTTTGTTCCCAACCTTTTGAAAGTTAAACATATTGTATAATTTTTTTTTTTATTGCTTAGTTTTCTGCATTACTTACATTTTCCATTTGTTTATGTGTAGGGATTAACGCAAGCTCTTGAAAATTGTGTGCTTAACCCAATACATAAGTTTTGTGTTAAACACTTGTACAATAATTTTAAGACTCAACATTAAGGACAAGAACTCAAATTCGCCCTATAGAACTGTGCTAGATCTTCGACAAAGAAAGAGTTGCAATTGAACATTAAAGAGTTGCAAGAAAAATCCCGTGATGCACTTCACTGGTTAGCTGACAAGGATCCAAAGCATTAGTCCAAAACATTCTTAAAACGATATTTTAATTTTTTTTAATAAATATTAATTCAAATAATATCATTTTAAAATATATTTTTTAATTAACCATAAGTAAAAGTGAAAAGTGAAAAAATAAATTATAACTATTATAATAAATAAATTTATTAGTAATCATAATTGATGAATAGGTAAATTAAAATAATTAAATCTAAAAAGAAAAGTATTTATCAATAATTATATTATAAGAAATAAAGTCAACAAATTCCAGTTTTACTTTCGAATGGGTCCTAGTTATGTAGATATTTTTGAAAAAATTCTAAAAATTTGATTCCTTACAGACACACGAGGGATTCTCTATAGAAATAATATGATTTGTTAAGAAGTTAGATCCATTGAACCAAGAAAAAAAAAACAAAAAAAGAGAAGTTGGACTCATTTGATAAAAACACACTCTTTTTTTTTGATCATATGCTTAAATAGAAATAAGAATAATAGGAATAAAACAGAACCATGATGAACAAATTTACAACGATAGAACATGATATACGCCGCACAGATTAATTGGGAGAAGGTGGACATACCCAACAAATGAGTTGGAGGAGCTGAAGGGGATGGAATTGGTTTTTTCTTTCTCCTGTAATGAAAAGTAAAATACAAGGACAAAAAGCGCTCCAATTATCAGACCCTTTCTTTGGGGGTTTGATTGTCAGGTAGGAGTCATCGAAAGAAAACCCATGGCCGAAGTCAAGACGCAAATATCCGTCTGAACTAAAACCACGAGGAAAAGGACTAAATCATATTCCTAGTTTTTTCTCAAACCTCATAGTTGTGCTAACTCAAAGTTCTGTTGACAGTTCTTACCATAAAAACTACTCATTTCAAAATAATTG